TCTGCCTATCTCACCACCCTTGTCTGAAAGCATGTTGCACTATGTTTCAAAACTATTTTGTAGGTTCTAGATTGAATTTATCTATTAAAATTGCATACTTCAAGTTTCTATATAATATATTTTAGGTTCCTCTGTACTCCTGGTATCTTGCACTTATTAAGCAATCCATAATACATGGTGATTGATATATATAATATCATTAATGTTTTTTAAACAATTAAAGTTTAGCCATAATAATTAGATCCCATTAACATGACATGTTATAAGTACATCAAATTTTATACAGCCTGCTTAAGACTACTGATGTATGAGTAAGCTCTGAAAAAAAGCTAGGAAATGAAGACCACATAAGTCTTGATTTGATCTACTACATACCAGAAAAGAGTTTTCTTTCATTTTCACAAGCCTGCAAAACTCCAAAAGGCCTCTTGTCTACTGATTTCACCAATTTCACCCCCCCATTAGTTGTACTGAAGGAGAATGCCCAGCGAAACCAATAGACAAAAGAGGAATAAAAGGAAAAATAATGGATTTGCAAAGTCAAATTTTGAGCCATAAAGCTCAAAGGGCTTCCTAATAACAAACAACACAGAAACCTAAAGAAGCATAGAAAGGTATCATCATCTAGTACATCAGAATACACTTACAATACTAAGACCCCAACATTCCTATTAATAATTTGACTGCTAAAAGGCAAGTCTTTTTTTTTAACTAAACATAGCATCTGGAGATATATGCTCTCATCCTATCAAAGAACATTTAATAAACAATACCTTATCCAAATGGTAATTGTAGTTCTCAACTGCATAATGAAAAGAACACCACGTTCAACTTTAGCCTCCTCACCTACCCTCTTATCTTCTATCATGAGAGTCTTCATAATCACACACTTGAACTTCAGGGCACAATTACTCAAGACAAGTGTCCCTGCAGAATATGAAACTACCTCAGCCAGTTTGACTAACTATAAAGTATGGGACCTGCCAAACTACCTTCAAAGCTTTCATCATCTTAAATAAGATTCCAACAATACTAAAGAATGATCAGCATAAAATGTAGGCTCTCAGTAGACAAGTTTATTACTTTTACTTCAGTATCTGGAAAACCATAGCTAGCCTGGAACTCCTTATATCAACACATTTCACTATGAGTTAGGAGCCTCTCTTTAAAAAGTGAAGCCCAAAATCAGCTATTCAGAACAAAATCATGGAGTCAAAGAGTTCATTATTACACCCACAGTTTGTCGGCTAGGGCATAAGTTATAAGTCTAGCTGTTCAAGGCAGTAATACTGGTTTCTTATCACAACATCATACCAGCAGTGGCCTTGATGATACTTGGTGACAATTGTTTTCACTTATAAACACAAAGCACAAAAACATACTGTGTATTCTTCATATCTATAATAATTCCTAATGTTTACAAACATGCACTTAACACAAATTTCTAAATTCATAGTTTAGTTGCCTGTTCCCTAGTAAGCCCTCACATTTCTCAGTCATAGTTCAGTGGATCTCCCCAATCAAGAACAGTGGAACATCAAAGATTTTATTTGAGAAACCACTACACACCTAAGTTTTAGCTATCCAACAAGGACACAATGTGATAACAAGCAGCCAACATATCTACCTTTGGCAAAGAACCAAATATGAATGATTTTTCCCTCGGGTGTGCTTTTAATCTGAAAATGTTATTAATAACTTTCCTATAAAAGTTGGACTTCTGAAAATGTGAACACTGAGAAGATATTTAATATAAAGAACTGTTCAGTGGGTTGGGGATTTAGCTCAGTGGTTTCAGCGCCTGCCTTGCAAGGGAAAGATTCTGAGTTTGATCCCCAGTACCCCCCCAAAAAAAATGCTGTAAGAGCTGTTCACTTATTCAGGAGTGATAATGGTATTTTGGGGGTTTTGAGACATTATAATTTAGAGACACACAGAAGTGTTTGCAAATGAGATCATGTCACATGGTGGGGGCAGGTGACTGTAGAAGAAAACTATAGAAGAAGCAAGATTAGATATGACTTGGTAGTTGCTGAACCTGGTGTTTCGTGTACAGGATTTATATCACTGCTTGATCTACCTCTGTGTATGTTCACATTCTTTTACACAATTTTAAATAAACTTTTTACCTATGCACAGATATGTATATGATATTTAAATAAAAAAGGTGATATAGTATTTAGCTGACCAAAGTAACAGGGGTTTTAAATCTAGATAAGTGACACAAAAACTAATTACAGCAAGGAAAGAAACAGTACTAATGGTACATTTTGAACTTGGTCTTCATTAAAATCTTAAGCTTTTTAAGTTTGAAAAATGGGCACATTTTCTCTCAAAAGCCAAATGCATATATAGATATAAATACATCACAAGCCCAAACAGCTACTTACTACAAATAAAACAACCAAAGCCAACTGTATGACTTATATCCCTTTCTATGTAGCCTTTGAAAATGATCATGGGAATCCAGAGGGGCCATGCAGTAGTGCAGAATACCCATGCAGAAAGCAGAACCACTTGTAACCAGCTCTTACAAGGACCTTCCTAAGCCAACACAGACAGCAATAGTGAACCAAATTCTTAGGATACCTGCTGTTGTTTCAATTCCTATTTTAAAACAAGAAAGAGAAACAGGTTCCCACCCATCTTGGCAAAGTGAAAGCTATACTTAGAATTACCCAGAGTGGTAAGCCTCAACAATCAAAAATTTTAGCCAATTCAGCACCAGTTCTAGATCCAAAAGGGAACTGATTCAGTTACTAACATTGAAATCTATAGTTATCACCAATAACACCATCACCCTAGCTTCCTCCCCAACAACTGGCCGACAATCATCACTACAACCCAACCAAAAGCAATTCACAGAAAAGAACACTGACAGGAAAAAATGCCTTTTGAAAAAAATACTTCAACCTGACATTCAAACACAGAGAACCAACAATCTAAGCCTGCACAGTTGCTGTACATGAGATTTAAGCTTTCATTAACAAAGCTTGCAAGTGCACATTTGAAACAATACCACAATAACAGCAACAAAAAAAAAAAATCAGAAGGAAAGGGAAAAGTTTCCTTCAGGAACCTCAAACCATCACATCAGGTGCATAAATAGCTGAAAAAATAACTCACTTCTTGGTTAAAAAAAAAAACTGGACCAACTCTACAAAACCTAAAGCCTTCTGTGTGCAGTGAGTGCATTGGGGGTGGGGATAGGGAGGTAGGGGGAGGTGGAGAAGGAAAGAAGGCGGTTAAATTTATAGAGGCCAATGACCAATTCTAGCACCACATCAGACCGGTCCAGGGAAAGATACTTTACAGTGACCCCTGGACAGTCTCCCTGAAGCTCCCTCCTCCCAAAAGCCCCCTCCCCAGGAGGCTCAGCCAGCAGGAAAATGTGCATTTGAAAATATACACTGCCTGCAGGTGCCTAAGGAATAAATACACACACACACACACACACACACACACACACACAGCCAATCACTTAAGAAGGGGGAAAAATACACACAAAAAGGAAAGGGACAATTGGTGACAAGCCTTTCAGCAACCAGCTAGGATTTTATTCTTTGCTTCCACCAGTCCTCCCTGGTGGACCTTTTTCTGTCCTTCAACTAAATTACTAATACACACACACACACACACACACACACGTGTGTGTGTGTGTGTGTGTGCGTGTGTGTAGATAATATTATAATTGACCCTCTCTGTGATACAGCCTCATTCGGAATACAGATATTCCATCCTTTCCTGTTCTCTCCCTTCCTCCCTCTTATCCACGAGAAAACGCCCCCTTCCCCAGCTTCGCCAA